GATCTGTTGTCCAATGTCCATCTACTGTAAAATCTGATTTTGCTTATATCCAATTTCAAACAGGGTGACGAATCTATTGATGATGCCATTGAAGCATCAGTCACCAAGACTTGTGGGGGCTGGTCACGTCCGGTGATGTAAAGCCATGGTACATCGCTAGAGAGGGCAAGATCCTGATGAAATCGAACAGTTCAACAACAATTGAGAATGCGTTGGCGCATCTTGTAAGTTACTATTAAGTGTTCAATATTGCCAGAATACCCTGTGTCAACTATCAAGCAAAAATGTATTCCTGTTTTTGGAAGCTGCGGTGATACAGAGAACTAGGGAAGGTAAAAAAAGGTTGCAATCAACAAATATTTGCAAGAACTTGAATAACATTTTAACAATTAACCTAACCGACCTACTGTACGTGCTCTGCATCATGCATGTTACTAGTAAACATGCAGTATTAGTACTTGTAATTGAATGCATGTAAATTTTTGTACTTATACCTGAAGGCTGCACTATCAAAGTTTCTGTCATCACGGTAGGAATTAATTTTGCAGAATGTGTAAATTGACTAATTTACGACTAAGTGTACATAAAAAAATTGTAAGGATTTTATTTTTAAAAGAATTTGTAAGAATTTTTAGTTAGGTCGAACAAATCTTTTTCAACTTACTGCATGCATATAGACAGCAATTTTGATAGCGCAGGGCTGCAAATTACTGTCGGACATCGGACAATGTCCGACTAAATTTGACAAATGTCCTACCAAAAGTAATTTTGATCGGACATTGGTCCGATCACAAAAGAAAAATTGTCACATTATACATTTTTTTGCTGTGACAAAATCCGATTGCAAATTCACTCAATTTGCATTTTGCAATAAAATTTACGAGGCATTCTAGCATTTTACTTAACGTTGCGCCGGAATGGCTATACATACTTGTCTCGTGACTTATATATTTCTTGTGACGTATATAAATGTCCGACCAAATTTAGTGGTGTTGGTTTTTGTCCGACCAAATTGAAGTTATGTCCGACCAAAATTAAAAGTGATCGGACAAATGTCCTGTCAAGTCAAATATTTATTTGCAGCCCTGTAGCGTTAACTACTTTGGTTCCAGGAACTCTTTGCGAGGCGAAACAATGTTACTGTAAGCTAATTATAGCTATAAAAGCTATAATTAGCTTGTTTTTTTTCCCAAACCGGTTAGACATATTTTTACAAATGGCCAATCACATGCAAGATTGAAATTCTGAACCTAACCAAGTGTGGAATTGGAATTTGCAACCGATGAGACCAGAGGCTGTTCCTTCTCGCCTCTCGTTTATTTCGCCTTGCAAAGAGCCTCTGGAACCAGGGTAGGCGTTCGGCAGTAAAACATATATAATCCTTGTACGTATTATCAAAGTGTTATATTAATTAAAATTTTCTTCCTTTATTCATTGCAATTTTACTATTTGTTTAATTCTACTACTCCATTTTGGGTATATTTTTGACTCCAAAATAAGAGTAAAATTTTAAAACTAGAGTATTTAGTACTCCTGTTAGGGTAAATATTACTCCATTTTTGGTATATTTTTGACTCCAAAATGAGAGTAAAATTTTAAAACAAGAGTATTTAGTACTCCTGTTAGGGTAAATATTACTCCACTTTTGGTATATTTTTGACTCCAAAATGAGAGTAAAATTTTAAAACTAGAGTATTTAGTACTCCTGTTAGGGTAAATATTACTCCACTTTTGGTATATTTTTGACTCCAAAATGAGAGTAAAATTTTAAACTAGACTATCTAGTACTCCTGTTAGGGTAAATATTACTCCACTTTTGGTATGTTTTTGACTCCAAAATGAGAGTAAAATTTTAAACTAGAGGATTTAGTACTCCTGTTAGGGTAAATATTACTCCACTTTTGGTATAGTTTTGACTCCAAAATGCGAGTAAAATTTTAAACTAGAGTATTTAGTACTCCTGTGAGGGTAAATATTACTCCACTTTTGGTATATTTTTGACTCCAAAATGAGAGTAAAATTTTAAATTAGAGTATTTATTACTCCTGTTGGAGTAAATATTACTCCATTAGTGAGGTAGAAAGTACTCTAAAAGTGGAGTTAAAATGTTGGAGTAAAAATACTCCCAAAACAGAGTCAACTGGTACCTTTTTTTTTTACTCCTTTTTTGGAGTAGTATCTACTCCTTGAAATTAACAGTGTATATTCGAAATATTCTCGACGTTTATAATGAATGTATAGACATACTGTATTGACTGTTTTGCCCGCTATTTTGCTGTTTTGAAAAGCGATGAGTGTAAGACGCGTGTCGTGCTTGTCGGCGGAAATTCGCAAACAGTCATTAACGCAACCCGTAGCAACAGCTTTGCAAAAAAGACAAAATTTTAGAAAAAAAACATACTGCGATATTATTAAGAAAACTATTGCCGCTTTTATTTAGCATATATGCAGCAGTATATAATATAGAGCACACATTACAATACTGTTTGTCAATGAACATTTATTTTGGTAGTAGCAACAGTAAAAGTTAATTTTTATTGAGGAAAACTTTTCAATTACACATATAAGTTCTGTCATTATTATTTTGTGTTTCAACGAGCGTGTAAGGTCGTTTCGTATCAAGTCGTCGCGTACTCAATTACCATTAAACTCGTTTTCGTTTTATAAAAACATATTTGGCTGAGACTGAGTGAAACATAAATTGGCTGAAAACGCGATGTCGATGACTCATCAGATGCTCAGACTCTCATACTGAAAATTACCATATCTGATATTCAAACCCAATGTTACGGTTAGTCATTATTATCGCGCATCATTTCTTACGAATAAACTTTTATATTTGTGTAATGTTTCTCTATATATATGACTATAAATCAGGAGAGAACCTTTTGTCCAATGTTTTTCCATAAACTATTAGCAAGAGTATGTCAAACTTTGAAAATGAAAATTCGATGCTTTCGATATGGATACGAAACAACCAAGCTTGAGTATCGTAACCAAACAACGAGAGTGCAATTTGGCGGATATGAAACGACCATTATTCATAAACCTTAACTAATGTGATGAATTTTCCAATTCGCCCAAACATCGAAACGTTAATATACTCTAACTTGGCTATACTTTTCTACGTGACAATGAGAGCTTAATCTTTTAGAAGTTTTCGTCGAAGTGATGGCATATATAGGAAGTATCAAGAGCAACATTTGGACATATCCTGATGTACTCGAGTTTCCCGATTGATTGAATTGCTTCCGATGTAAATATCTCAAAGAGTATTTACCCCCCTTTAAAACGGAAACCACCGTTGAAATCCTCATAAAATAACCTTTTGAACGGGGGGTCAGATGCCTTTATAACATTACACAAACCAAAACAATCGTGTATTTTACTCACCGCTTTGCCAAATATTCTGTATTTCATATCCAGAAAATCTTGAATATCTTTTGAACTCTTCGGAATTCCCGACAAGTCAGTCTGAGTGAAATACTCCTTGCATTCAAGCGCTTTCGTGTGGAAAATTTCGTTCGAATACGGCCAGTAGAAATATATTTATTTTGATTTTTTTCAAAATACCGGGTTTTTACCGGTTTTTACTCGCACGCGCCCGCCACACGCTAAAATTGCCCAATAAGGAGCACTCGTAGTCCGATGCACGTGCAATTCACGCTGCAGGTGTAATTTGACCTTTAGAATCGATTTCCGACGTTTCCCGAGCGATAGGATTTAACAGCGCAATGTTTTGGCAGATCTAAAGTGTATTTCCGGTCGAACGGCCATCGAAGCTCTCGCGTAAAATTTAGATATTTTGAAATTCCGAAATAAAAGATGCAAATCTGTTGATACAAGTTTGAAAATAACACTCTAAATAGTGTTTTGGAATGTGATTCGAACAAGACTATTATGAAAAAGATATCTTAAAAGGGGCCAAAGTTATGTCCGGCGAAAGGTATGCCTTTGTGATACATTTTATGACATTCTTACATTTTTCGGGAATATTGTGTAATCTAGTGAAATATGACACCGCTAGTTGCCCTCTAAAGGTCGCCAATCGCTATAATGTTGACATTTTATTATATCTATCGATAGGATTTTTTTCACTGAATCGAATGGTGTTATTTTCATCTATATAGCATGCACTGAACCGAAGATATGAACCTGCAAAATACCAGGTCGGTTTCGACCTGGTTATTTCGGCAGCAAACGAAAAAAGTTAACAAAATATACACCGATTGTTTGCTGAACATGCGAGAGGATGATCACAATATTATTCTACGTAAACATCGTGAAGTTCAACGCTATAGTTTCCAGAATATATCCACGCAAGTAAACAAATTTCAAGTTTCAACCCAAACAATATATTCCAATGCATGTGCAAGGGCTTTCCCCAGTAGCTAATCTCTCAATTGCAATAAGGCGGCTTCCAATTGGCTCAAACTCTTTTGAACATTGCCAGATGATTGGCTCCTAAAACAAAGGGAATTGAATATGGCGCTTGGGTAAGCAGACGGTAGTATTTCGTCGCTTGGCGTAGGAGTAACAACGTCTGTGAGCAGGCTAGGGCCAAAAAGCCTAACAAATCTTTTTACCTACAAGAATGAGAATACACATTACTGTCCCCGTGACAATAGCCACAGCCGGCCCGCACAAATAGCATGAAAAAGAGTTTTATGTTTAATAAGGCAAAATTATTAGAGGGATTATAATTATACAGAGGGATTAGGTCACGGAGTCTATTTGAAAGAAAAATTGCTGCTCATGTCACTATAATAATATATTTTTACATACATATAAATCCTTTATTGTAAATAGTTAACTATATGTTTTGTTAGTTGTCTATATTGTCAATTTTGTCAATTGGAACAGTTATAGATTATTTTCTATTTTCTTTTATTAGATACCATACGAGTCAAAAGAACATTTATATATAATAACTTTTGAACTCACGCCCTTAGTGGAAATCAATATTTTTAATTGACGTAGTTAGCGTGTCAAAATAAAATCTATCTATCTATCGAAGGGCTGCATGCAAGTTTTTCAGAGACATGAATATCACTTGTAGAATTCATAGCTTGAAAAAGCTCTTCGCCAGCGTTTGGAGCAATCACTTGGCATGCTTCGCGACTAGTCTTTTCAATGCACGCTTCTTCCTCCCTTTGTGTAGTTTCATCCCAACTGCTAGTTAGTCGAAATGACAATGGTGAAATTACTTTGAAAAACGTTAAACTTGCCAGATGGGAAATAGATTCGTTGTAGACATCAGTTGTCGATGGACTAGGTTGGTCACCATAATTTGAAGAGTAGTTTAGTAAAGTGGCATTGCTAGGTGTCCACATATCAGTCGCATCTGGACTAGCCAATGAAGTTGAGGGAGAGATTGTTCCAGAAAGACATGGCGATAGTGATGTCATTTCCAACCTGTGGATAAAAACGTGAAAGGATCAAAATTTCATCGTAAATTTTACTGGTGTTTTTTAAATAGAGACTCTAATGATTGGCTTGATACAACTTTTCGTTTTTCTGTTATAAGTAATGAGCAAGTTCTTAACAATTTAAAACAATTGGTAGTATCGAAATCGACTGGAATTGACAAAATTCCAGCTAGGGTTCTCAAAATCTCAGCTGATATAATTGCCCCATCTCTAACAAAAATTTTTAATTTTTCATTACGTACTGGCATATTTGTTACTGATTGGAAATTAGCACGTGTACAGCCAATGTATAAATCTGATGACAGAAGTAAATGTGAGAACTATCGTCCAATTTCTATTCTTCCTGTTGTTAGTAAAATTTTCGAGAAGGAAATTTTTAAGCAACTTTATGACTATTTATCTGAAAATTCACTACTTTCAAAATTTCAATCTGGATTTAGACCCAAACACTCAACTTTATCTTTACTTATCCAAATGTGTGACAAATGGTTAGAAAGCATGGATGATGGCAAAATAACTGGCCTTATTTCAATGGACATTAAAAAAGCATTTGACTCTATTGATCATGAAATTTTAATGTCTAAAATGAAAAATCAGTTTGGTATTTATGATGATGAGTTAAATTGGTTTGGTTCTTATCTGACAAACCGTGAGCAAGTCTGTTGTGTTAATGATCATTTCTCTTCCCGTAAAACAATAAAGAGTGGAGTGCCCCAAGGATCAATTCTTGGTCCTTTGATGTTCCTATTATATATCAATGATTTGCCAAAATATTTGAAATATACTACGGCGGGTTTATACGCCGATGACACACAGATATATGCTTCATCTCATAACTATGATGAATTGGTAGATCTATTGAATTCTGATTTGAAAAATATTAGCAAATGGCTGTCGGACAACAAATTGCAACACCATGCTACTAAAACAAAATTAATGTTTATAGGCTCACCATATAATATTCGGAACAAAATTGGCAATAAATTGGTGATTTTTAATAACAAACCATTGGTTCGTTTTCGGTCATTTAAGTGTTTGGGAGTTGAACTTGACGAACACCTAAGTTGGGAAACTCACATTAACTCAATCTGTAAAAAAGTTAGTGCAGGAATTGAAATATTAAAACGTACTAGATCATTTGTCCCAAATGAGATCTTGCACACCATCTACAAAGCATTAATTCAACCATATTTTGATTATTGCTCTCCCCTTTGGGATAATTGTGGGGCATTACTAAAACAAAAATTGCAAAGATTCCAAAATAGAGCAGCAAGGGTTCTGACGGGAGCAAACTATGATACCAATTCCTCTGAACTCCTTGAATGGCTCAATTGGAAAAATCTCGATACCAGATTTAAATTCAACAAGGCGGTTATGGTATACAACATCCTTAGAAATGGCACAGCCCCGTGCCTTCGCGAAACATTTTCTGCACGGAGTGACCATAATGTTTATAATTTGAGAGGATATGATACTGACCTCTCAATTCCAAAACCTAAAAAAGAATTTCTAAAAAGTAGTTTTAAATATAGAGGAGCTAACTTATGGAATAGTCTGTCTTATGATGCCAAGAGTGCTCCTACGATTTATACTTTCAAGAGGTTAATCGAAATCGAAAACTAGTACTTATCTATTTAAATACGTCTTTAAGCAGTTATCAATAGTGTGTGCTGTTATATTGATCTAGTTTGTTATTCTTTTTTTTTCCTTTTGTATATAGTGTAATTGGTAAATAGTAATAGTTTCTTCTTGTAAATATATAGTGTAATATAGTCAGTAGTCTTGTTAATTTAGTATAATATAGTGTAGTAGACGCCCCCCATGAAAACCAGTCTGTAGCTGATGGGGCCAGCGTCTTAAAAGAAGTTTTAAATACAATACAATACATAAATACAAACACAGCTGAAAAGGGTAAAATAGCAGGGGCGTCGTGGGTCCCATGTTCTTTTTTTTGCGGGGAGGGGGCAACGGCAGTATTTTTCCGACAAACTCAATTGGAAAAATAATTTTCCGGACAAGAATATTTTAATTTACCCCCCCCCCGGCCGCGACAACTTTTTTGGTAAAAAAAATTTCCGGACAAGAACGTTATAATTGCTTTCGTAGCACTTTTAACACGTTCTACTATAGGGTCCAATATTCTATTTAACAGAATTTGAGAGGAAAATGAAAGAAAACACTAAAAAATGCAATGAGTACAGCCATGACTGTGGAGAAATTATACATAAATGCAATAATTCTGCATGAAAACAAGAATTCCTTTTGAAACATGATAAAAATTGGTTAAAAACATAAGCATAATTCCAAATGTGGACAACAACAGATTTTATGTTTTAATAGGAAAATCACATCAAATGCATGTTAAAAATAACTGAAAATATATTCAGCAAAAACATACACATTTGCAACAATTTTAGCTTTTCCAAGTTGCAAGATATGACTAAAATGATACTGTAGTAAATCTCTAAGAGGAAAAAACTGCTTAAAAAAATTGGGCAAAATTTATTGTTTTTAGCAAAGTGAGTAAAAGGCATGTGAATAAAAGGGGAAAAAAGAGGAAAATGTTATAGTTCCAAAACATGTCTGGAGGCAGCCACAGTCAGTGAAAATTATATATCAAGAACATGCCACTTTTGATATATCAAAAAATCTAAACTATCCAATGTTTCGATATATCGAAAGAATTCTATTTCTTCGACATATCGAAAGATTGTAATTTCCTTGATATATCGAAAGAATGCCATTTCTTCGATATAGCGAAAGAATGCCATTTCTTCGACATATCAAAAGATTTCAATTCCCTCAATATATTGAAAGATTGCAATTTTCTCGATATATCGAAAACTAAACTATGCATGGCTTCTATATATTGAAAGAATGCCATTTCTTCGATATATCAAAAGATTGCCATTTTTTCAATATGTCGAAAACTCTAAACTATCCATGGTTTCCAAACATGAAAGAAATGGTATTGTTTCGATATATCACAGAAATGACATTCTGTCAAGTTCAATATGTGGAAGACCAAAAGGATGTCATGTCTTGCCAAAACAAGCCATGTTTTAAATATTGATAGTAAAACAACAAATTAGGTCACAATTCAGCTCAATGGGTCAGCAATATGGTATACACTCAAAATATAACACATTCTATGATAGGGTTGCATATTCTATTTAGCTATAATCAAAATAATCACATGTACAGTCAGGGCCGCCAAGAGGGGTGGAGGGGCAAATTGCCCTGGGCCCCCACCTTAATAGTGCCCCAACTTGAGAGCAAGAGCCTAAAATTGAGTAGGTTCTATAAAGAGCATTTTTGAAATTGAGGGGCACTTGCAGTACTTCCACATGCAGTCTAGCTAGGTTTTAGTTGGGTCTGGCTTAAAAATAACAATGTCATGGGGACCCCAGGGAAGGTTGCCTCGGGCCCAGCAAATTCTCTAGGCGGCCCTGTGTACAGTATAGCTAGCTATATTAATTATACATATACAACAACAACATATGTATATATCTATATTGACTAAAATCACTTCATTAGACAGTACGGTAAAGTAACAAATAAATTCAGTTTTAAGAGTTTCTTCTGCCCTATAACTATTGCTTTAGGCAATTTTCCCACGACAATGCATTTGGACGCAGTAACATGTAGACCATTGCAGATAAACCAGTCTCACAACAGCGATGTAATACATCAAAAGATCAAACATCAAGCGATGTAATACATCAAAAGATCGAACAAAACATTACATGGTACTGATATTATATACCTTCTTGTATAGCTGTGTTACTGTCAATCTCCTTTATTAGGTGGTCTGAACCCTCTATGGTTAAACACGGTTCTTTTGTGTTTGATGTACTACAGCATGCAAAAGTGATATATCATTTGGTTTACATCAATCTAAAAGAGTGGAAAAACTATAAGAACAGACAACAATAAAATTATTACAGTTTTTACTGCCAATCAAAGAACACAAGAGAATCAGATATATAATGGCATACAATGAACCTCCGAATATATTCCCTGGGCTTTTATTCGTTTGTAAAGATTTTTTGATGGGGGCTTATGTACAGGGGCGTTATATACTTTTATTGTATCTGTAAACTATGTGAAGTGTGAACCATTGCATCAGTCAAAACACGTTCATGACCAGTGGCAGACATGTTGCAAAATATATGAACATTTAAACCTTTCTTGCTTGAATTAATAGACAGATGGGGAAATAGTCTGATTAACCCATTGAGCGCCAGCTCTCTGCTCTCATCGAGTATAAAATTATCAAGCTGGCGTCAGACAGAGTAAAATAATCTAGAAAAATGTACTGAATATTGAAGACTAGAAGTGATGATCATTCCTATGTAAATTAATGTTGTACAGTTAAAACACATGCAGACAAGAAGGGATATGTATTTTAAAAATGTAAACAATCTTCTTGGGACCGCTTCAAACGTTCAAACAAATCTACAACCTGAAATTCTCACTATCTTGACCATGATCTGGACCTTGGCAGCAATTCAACGCTCTTCCCTTCGATTTGATCTTTCGACAGAATCGACTTTAGCTTTAATTTTGTTAAATATTTAATATTCATGTTCATTATTCATATCCAAGCACTGTCCTCAGTCCTCACAAAGATTTACCATAGTATAGCTATTATAACGCTAATGTACTTGAATGCGAATCAACGATGTCCATGAAGGGACATAATCGAAACAGCTCGCTTCGAGTTCGGTAAAAAATAGTACCAACATGCTTTGCGTACTGCGCAGTGTGCCCAGATTTGGTAATTTCATTACTACCGTGGTAATTTTTCGTCATTTTTGGACGATTGTGGTAATTTGAAGTTTGTGGTAATTACTACGGTATTTTTTTTAATTCTGGTAATTAATCTGAAAATAGCTAAAAAAAAGTCAATTACCAGCTCAATTTACAATTACTGGTTGTCCTCTGCCCCACTGGCAAAAATAATCGACGCCCCTGGGCTTTGGGGGCCTCCAGTCATTTTTTATGTGTCCTCCCAGGGCAAAATATTTATGTTTTTTCAGGCATTTATCGTTCGTGACCTGAAAAAATGTGGGGAAAATGTGGAAAAAAGAAAAACACGTGTTCGTCGGGAAAATATTTGGCCCAAAAAAATTGTCGACGGGGGGGAGGTAATCGTAAAAAGAGGTAACGTGGTAATTTTTGGCCCAATGTAGTAATTTTATGCAGCTGGATGTGGTAATTGCCCTTGAAAATACCTGGTCACACTGGTACCGCGACTCTTGCCTGTCGCCATATATCATATTTGCGAATATTCAAATCGTTTGCTTCTTTATCGCCGGAATATTTGAATATTTGTTACTTCTCAACGCAGGAATACTTAAAGATTAAATCAAACAAGGTATGTACTACATCAATTGCTATTTATTTCCCCAGAAGAGAGAGTACAATCTCATTATCTCAGGACTATATTGCTATATTGTAGCAGAATTTTATTTTGCTGGTTTTAATACAACTCGTGTTTTTAAAAATACATGAGAAAAATTTTGTCTTGAGTTAACAATTTCACAGGATTTTGGCCTCTCTGCAACTGATTTACTTCTTACAAAGTCAAAATGTTTTCTTCGCTTGACAGCTTTGATTGAAGTCATTGAACTTATTAAATATTTAATTATGAATGTTGAATGAGCTTGTACATGGTCTAAGAATAGGCTTTTCACATCCAAACATTGCCAATGGATGGGTAGGGTGAGGGCACTGAGTAGCTTCAAATATGTACCTTGGCCATTTTAACCTCATTCGTATGGCCTGTTCAAATGAGTCATAATAATATTAGCATAGAAAATTACATTTTGTTCATGTAATGAAGCACAAACTATTAGCCCACTTGGTCAGATCCCAGATTTGTTGAAATGAGAGACCGGGCATTGTAATTTTAATGAAAGCATTGTGAGAATTATCTGTGTTCTATCAATAGACATCATTAAGAAAAAGCTAACTGCAACTAGGCCAGGGTATACAAGGCACTGTTATAAATGTGTCTAAAATCATCATTCATTAATAATATCAATTTTACTTGGGATTATGTTGATGAGCAATCTTTTGCTTTTTCAAATTTAGAGGGCTATGTACAGGGTGTCTCAAAAAAACCGCTACCCTTAGAAATTCACCATTGTTCTAGTTTTAATGCCTGAACCTTGTTGAAGCCATGAATGCGTAAACATTTTCACACGATGCATATATTAAAGGTCTTCGGAATTAAAATATCCTTGAAAAGCGAAATTTTTTATCCTGGGAATTGAAAATAGTTCATACAAAAAGTATAACTGCACGAAAATCGTTCAATTACATATTAGTGAATGTCAAGCAAATGGCTCAACTGAGCGCAGAGCAAAGAGTATTTATTGTCTTAAATTACCCATGAGTTCAAGATAGCACTCAGGCATTCAAATTCGAACAATGGCGAATTTCCAAGGGTAGCGTTTTTTTTTAGACACCCTGTATAACAAACCGGTCATTGGTGACGCTAGATGATCTTCATTCAAGATTCATTATCGGAAAGGAATATATCATCAGCAAGAAATGGTCTTTTCATTGGTTGATAAAAATTAACCATGAGTAGATGTTTGTCAGGTTGTATATTTCTTGTAGCCTTTGACTTGCATAAGGAAAAGAAAATATATGCTGACACTACATGCTAGACGATGAACTCATTGTTGAAGAACATATTAGTTATGTTTATGTAGAAAAAGAACACTGTAAAGTCGCCTTGTGCTGGACAGAGTAATGTAATAAGTGCAGAGCTCGGCACAACTAATTTACATTACCATTTGCAGTTTAAATGGTAATAAATGTGATATTTTACATTCATCCAGCTTTACTGTCTTACGTTTTGAGGAGCATTACAGCACAAAACTTAAATGTGCCCTACTAGCCTACTGCCCTTTCATTATTTTACTCTATCTAATAGCATAATAAGGTTATATTTCATTAAGGGGTGAGTCTTATTTAATAGTTTATAAGGGGTGAGTCTTATTTAATGGTTTGCCTGACGCGAATGCGCATAACGTGCAAGTCCACCCTTGATTTTTACCCTCGTTCCAAGCTCACGGGGGAACGGCATTTCGCGCTATAGCCATTCGGAGAAAATATTTTGCAATATCTATTTCTTTTCCAGTCTACACAATTAATGCCAGCTGCATGCTGAGAAAGATCTGGGCAGTTTGACCGTTGGTAAACAAGCTGATTTATTGACCCTCGGTGAAAATCCTTACAATGTTGATCCATTAAAACTGGGAAATATTCCAGTTCTGGGAACATTCGTTGCTGGACGAATAAACAAGAACCTGTTGGAGTTGGAAGACCAAAATGGAATATATGTCATCAAGAAGAAAGCTGGCCAAATTAAAGAAGAATAACAAAGCTTAAGCAAAACAATACTTATTTCATTTAATTAAATGAAAGCTTTGAAGTGTATATACTTCGAACGTATATGTGTATTTCCCTAACTGTGTTTACATATTGCACTCATACGTACCCAACTAGATATATAAACCAAACTAGCTTGTACTTTGTAGGTGGAGAAAAAACGAACTGCCAATTTCAACTAGGAGAGTAGAGTGACTGCGTGCAAGTTGGGAGGCACAAGACGTATTGCATACCTGAATAGCTATAGGGTTCGGAAGCATACTGCCCTTAATTAATTAAAATTTTTAATTCGACAAGACCACGATGGTCGTTTCCGTTTTCTAAGCCGTTTTCAAAATGCAATCATGTGAAATGGTATGAAATTTCGTTGCATAAGCATTTTCATGACAAAAAATAAAATAAATGGGATGAAAATTGTCGAATGAAAATTGTGGAGTTAAACGTAAGGCATACATGCTTACAAGCTTGGAAATATTGTCAGAAATTGTAAATTGAAATGCAGCAAAATTGCCTTTAAAGTTCAATCGTCTTTCAAGGTGAAGCGGAGTGAGGTCACTCCCGGTCGGATTGCTTTTGAGGTGGATCGATATACTAATCCAGACAAAATCCCTTGTAGGCAAGAATTGCGAAACTTGGCACCTTGCCCACGCTATATCTCGCGCCAATATACGTGTTGTATAAGCACGTTGCTTGTCAATTGCTGACGTCATTAGAAATGCCAATTTTAGAAAAACATTGCGCTATATCTCATTATTTTGTCCTATGACCTATGCTGAAATTTTGCACACTGTATTATGCATGGTGCAAAAGTCTTTCAATATTCCCAAAATATAAAAATTTGTAATGCCAAAAAAATGTTATCGAAGAAAAAGACATTTTGCCGTTCTTCAAAATAATGGCATTACGTACAGATTTTTTTTTTGTATTTTACTTATTGTTAGTCTATGTCCTAAGTAAAATAGTGCACGAAATAAATTGGGGGTCATTGTCCTTATTTTCCTACTACATAAAGCAAAAGCCTATTTTGTAGTGAATTTCGTACGCGAGTGTTGTCATAGCAACGGACTATGTGTTACGTACCAAAACTGAAATAATTTGAGAGAAGAGATATTAAAATAGATGATAATTCCGTTATTTCCTTCATTAAATATAAAATTACGGCATTTAGAACAGTCAAACTGTTATACACCTGAAGTTTTTGAAATTGTACCCAGCCAAAAAAAAACGTTTGTCATTTTTTGGCTACGTTTACACTGTACCGGATAGCTTTCCGTAGTGACGTGAAAAACCTTTCCGTGCTTTTTAGAACGCTGTTTTTTCGAGAAATTACAGCAACGGAGAGATGTTGCTTCGCTCATCTTCTGAATGTTGTATATTCCGGCTATCGAATAGTATTCGATAGCCGCTACGGAAAGGTGTGATGTAAAACCTAGACTATGTTTCCGAAAACAAGTTGGTTTACCAGGTTTTTTTACAACCCTCAAAGTGAATATCTCTAGCTTGAAGGTCACGAGCAAGAAAATACTGATAAGAGTTGTACCATTAGAAACTGAGGAGGGATTGGAATTAATCCTGCCAGGCAGTTCGCTGAAAATTATCCTGCATAAAACCAAGGTGGGAGGAGGGGATCTTGGAAGTGGCTTGATCCTAAATTTCAAATTCTCTGGTCGAGGATGCCCCCAGAACCCCTGAAATGTGTGACTCAAAGCATAAGAGATTATAAATAACACTAGAGGAGGCATTGCAATCTTGACATCAGGCAAAAAAAGGAATGCGGTTACTGGGGGCGGGGCAAATTCAAGTCCCGGATGTGTACACGTATTCCCATTGGTGAGGAGTTTCAATTTAGCCAATGAGAGTACGATTTTATCCGGGACTTAAATTTGCCCCCCATTAGCCGCGTTCCCAAATTTTAACCTCGATGACTCCTCTAGTGTTATTTATAATCTCTATGGTGCCCAAGCTATTCCCTGAACCACAGGAAAACCCTGGTAACGAGGTTGAGCATCGGTCAGCAATTTTGCGAGTTCGTCCCTGGGGGCGCAAATTCTCGGCTGGCATCCACAGGCTAACAGGATCTAGCATGCCATTTGCCAGTATCAGCCAATAAATATAAAACTAGAGAAACATTTTGCAGGACCTTGTTGCCAAAGCCATTGCCCCCCCCCCCCCAACACAGACACGCTACCCCAATTTCTAATCGTCTACCTCTACAAATCACAGATTAAACACCATATAGAAGTGTCAATTCTTAATAGCTTCAGCGTAAGAGATTTTTGTATCTGCGCGGAGCCCTAGATACTATGCTATCGAGTTTGTGTGTGAGTGGGTGCGTGCGTTAAATACCCAGGTCGACTAATTAGGGCTGTACGCCTGCGAACAGGCAGTAAAACAAAGATGGCGGCTTTCTACAGGGTGTAGGAAGAGGTTAGTTTGTTTGTTTGACTTTGGCCGACTGCTAAATTGTCCGATTAAACACTTTTTGTTATATCCTTGAAGATTGCACAAAGTAACATCGTAAAGCTTTTTTTGTGAGTGACCGTTCATGCTTTTTTATAAATAATATCTATAGTCTATTCATATTAATTGGGCCATTCCATTTAATATAGGCACCCGCCCACCTATTGAGGGGCCCTTCGTAAGCCCCTTAGGATATAAAAAATTTAGAACCCCCTTGGATGCGATTTTTGGAAGTTACCCCATGGATTTCTTTATACCCCCTTTAGGATATCGTTTTTAACCCTTGGTTATCACTAAGACACCTAATTTTTGCTGTTTTTTTGAAAATTTCTTAAGCGCTACCTTCTAGGAAATTTTAAGATAAAAATCCCCTCCCCCCATACGATATCCAGACCCCTCAATATGGGTAGGGGGGGGGGGGTGCCTATATTAAATGGAATGGCCCATTATATATGGGATGTTAAAATTTTGTTTATATATTAGTAATTCTAAATGATGTAACTATAAATGTTCCATATTATATGGTACATTTATAGTTACATCATTTAGAATTACGTTACATTAAAATTTTGTTATATGGTGCACTAGTCACAGGACATCTTAGAATTATACGATTGCTTGATATAAAGTTGTGTTAAAGTTAATAAAATTTCTTTACGGACTGTATTTATTTTAATTTTAATTTTAATAGAGCATACAATCAACATTAAGTCATTAATAAATGTGGGTACAGCATTTACCTCAGCAATTCTGCACCCATTTCATATATAGTTCTTATTCTGTCTGTTTTTATTAAAAAAATGGTGGCTTTCTGACAGTTGATTTAGTAGAGAAGGGACTGCAATCTGAACATTCTTTGTCATATCATACAAAGTCACAATACAGCCAGGTATGTAGTAAATTGTCGTCTATATAGTGACTATAGTTAAATATAAAAAAAACATTTGTTTGCGCTAGCTTTTACTGAACTTGCCGTTAGCGTGTACGGGAAATTGAAACACAATCCGGGTCACGTTGTGTTTTCTCCTTTTTTAACTCCCCCCCCCCCCACCTTTTTCAACTTTCGAAAGGTCATGGCTAGTAGTTGGAATTAGAGAAGGGGTTGGGGATCGATTTATCTTGTAAAAGTTCAACTTTAAGTATAGTCACTATCATAGTTGCCAACTGGAGACACAAGCGCAGCTTTGATTTGTCCGCATTGCTCCAGCAATGCTCCAGCATTGCCAATTTCTCCAGCAATTTTAAAGTATTCTCCACTATACTTACCATACTTACTATACTTGTATCCATAGATATAGGAGACCTAGATTGCTGACTCTAATGTTTTCTATAACGCACGAGCGTGGCACTCATGAGCATTCAAAATGGCGGCTCAACCGGGCAAAAATCATAGAGCGAGATAGGGAAAAAGCATGTTTTTCGCAGTTTGCTTCGTCCTACAGCTTCCGATCCCGTTCTATCACTTTATTTTGGCAAGAACTAACTGGTGTGAAGGTTTTGGATGAATATTTGTACAATTTAAGTTTAATAAAGACGAAATAATCGATCGCTAAATGTTATCTGAAAATCATCACATAGTCGGTTGAGCAGTTCGAGACATTTTGTTACAGAAAATAAAGGTTTTGGTTCTTTGGGTGCTTTTTTCTCGAGGATCTCGGTTGGGATATATAACAGGGAATAATATTGTGAAGTATTTTGAAGTTGAAACCTATTTTACTTTATTTATTTGGTCTGCTGGTGCGAAAATTCTGATGCTCTGTTTAGTGTGACTTTGACAACCTCCTTGCTGCTGCAGATGTCAAGGGATCTCAAGTCTATATGGCCTGGACAGTGAAAAGTGATGAATCAATCAGGTTTGTAGAGAGAACTAGTGACAGCGAAAGTTTTCAATGGAAACTAGTTTGAAGAAACTGACTAATTTGTCTGGTATGCATCAAAAACCTTCACAGTATCTAGTTCTCTCCAAGAAACCTGATTGATTCATCATTTATAATCAAAAATAGATGGGACGGCATCTTCGTTTAGATATTTCTTGGATAAGTTGGATTGGCCTTTTATTGATTGCTCTCCACAATCAGCAGTTCTCCCCTTCAGGCACTCTCCCCTTGAGACAGCTGACTTAAGCATCAGCACTTTCCCTTGACGAGTAAAATTGTCTGGCGTTAGACAGAGTAAAATAATAAAATAGGGCACAAAACGACTCAATGGGTTAACTAGACACATGGGCAGATAGGCCAGTTAAACCATTAAGTGCCACTGCTCTCCCCTTGATGAGTAAAATTGTCTGGCATTAGACAGAGTAAAATAATAAAGTAGGGCGCATTGCAACTCGATGGGTTAATATAATCATCGGGTGTGAAGTGTTTCTCACACAAGACAGGGTTCGTACGGGTCCTGGAAAGTCATGGAATTTCAATATTCCAAAATCCAGGCCTGGAAATCCTGGAAAATCAAAATTACCTATTTCAATTTACCAGTCATAACAATAATATGAATTGCTGTTTTTAATTTACCAGTCATAACAATAATATGAATTGCTGTTATATAACAGATTTTTGCAAGAGCGAAGTGAATTTTGTTCTTTTACTATATCTGTTATTGTTGAAATATTAACGAATTTCAGAAATTCCAGACTTCCAGGTCATGCATTTTGAAAAAAATAGTCATGGGAAGTCATGGAATTTTAAATCGGAGAAAGTGTGCGAACCCTGACAAGACTGGATATTTGATTGGCATCCAGTCTGCCCATTTCATTTTTTTAGCAGGCTGGGATTGGTTATAGGAAATCCAATAGTGCAAAGGGAAAGATGTATTTTTGGTTCACTGATGTGAACAAAAGTAAAACATTTTTGACCTTGAACAGGACAAGGACCTCTATGACAGTTGTTGTCAACATGCATATATAGAGAGAGAGAGAGAGACTCCTAACACAGATTGACACAGACATAAAAACAAGTTGTTTGGTCTAATATTCTTTGATTAAAACTGTAAATAGTTTTATATTGTAGCTAGCAAACTCAAAACTACATTTGTTGTGATGTTGTCATTACAGTATTTACAAAACAAATTGTTTTTATTCTATTAATATTAAACTATTCTGTTTATATGATGTAAGTTATAGACTTTATATAGTGTACAAATATATGATGTGTGTGTTTGATAGAGTTACTTATGGAAGGAAAAGCGAATACCATCTTTTAAATCCCCACGTCTGCCTTGCACTAATACGATGAACACGATTCAGGCCGACATTCAAGCATTCTTTTCGATAAAACCCCCCAGATATTTTAATAGAATAGAAAGCCCTAGAATTTTCAGATGAAAATACTGTATTTTGGTCGAAATAACAATGAAAGAACAAAATAAACTGTAGTAGCTTTTGGAATAGTTAGATATATATCACATTACTTGAGAAAAAAATCGTAAAAGACTGAAGGAATAAACAGGAAGAAACTAAAGACGAAAAGCGCGCGAAACTGCAGGCCTGCCCAATCTTGCCCGCTTGAATTGTAATTTGTAAATTGTATTAGTTGTAACAAATATTCATCCAAAACCTTCACACCAGTTAGTTCTTGCCGAAATAAAGTGATAGAACGGGATCGGAAGCTGTAGGACGACGCAAAATGCAAAAAACATGGTTTTTCCCTATGTTGTTCTATGATTTTTGCCCTGTTGAGCCGCCATCTTGGATTTTCAAAATATGCCACGCCGGTTGAGCCGAGTCAGCAATCTAGGTCTCCTATATCTATGCTTGTATCCTGTCATATCCCTTTATATATCAAACGTACTGTACCAAATATTCCAGCTTCTGCTATGTTAAAGTTGGCACCCATATAAGAATATAATTTCAGCTAATGTTATATAAAATGTTTAAATTTGTAAATTTGTTGCCTTGATTTTTTCATTTTCTAGTCCTAGCCATTCTAAGGACTTAATTAATGTTTTTTGGCGAGGGGGGGTATGCTCCGGTTTCAATCGGGCAGGAATCTCCAACAAAACTTTTCTCCAAAGTTGGCAACTATGCACTATATAGCTAGTCTCCCTCACAGCCGCTCTTTGTGTTCAGTTTCTCTCCACGAGCGCTGCTCACTCGAGCACAACATTCCTTTCCTGAAAACAACCAATCACAGTAATGCTTCAAAATTTTGAAAACATGACTTTGGACTTAAGATATTTATGTCGCTAAATATATCGGATGGGCTAAAGTAAGACAAAGGGAATGGAATGTTGTGCTCGAGTGAGTTGCCACTCATGGGGAGAAACCTCGACAAAAAGAGTGGCTGCGAAGGATATTACTGTATTGCCAGCAGCTTACTTAATAGCCAGCTGCCGGCTGTATAGACAGCATAGTCACTTCGAAATATAAATGTTTACTCAATGCATGAATTTTTTTCATGGCACGATGCAATTCCTTTGCGCAGATACATGTACGTCTAGCGTAACTATTTTTCCATGTTCTTAGCAAGTGCTCTAGAGAGAGGCTGTCACCTCCTGAAAACATATTGAATTTTAGTGTTCCAGGGTGGAGGGGGGAGTGAATGTCTCTCTTTAAGGCACTTGCTAAGAACATGGCTGCCATATATGCGCAGTTAAATCTACCCTACGTTTTTCGTGCGAAGTGAGGCATCTGTATGGTTGGTACTCTGTGCCCCAAAATCATGTATACATTATTATTATTTTATTATTATTTAGTACTTATTTACCTTTGTTCTATTATATGCGTTTGCAAACTAGAGAAGTAATGACTTGGCATTCGAGTTGTAAAATTGGTAGAAACAAACTTATACATTACTGTACATCAATCGTATTCTACAGAAATTAAAAAACAACGCTCATGGAAGCGTTAAATCAGTCAATTATACTCGACGCACGTGTTTATTTTAATCAATTCTATAAATTTATCACTTCTATCGTGCTTTCAATTAGTACTATATCCATATCGTCTACCAAGAATTCAAGCGTTTGTGCACCAACATAATCCTGTTCGTTTGTAAACGACGGAATATGTATACGATGCTATGCAATCCAATTGCAATAACTCTGCACATTGCAAAAAAGTAATTGCTGCATAACGCTAGCGAGGCAGCACATTACTCTTGACATGCTGTGGTTTCTCCAGAGTCCACTCGAGCCAGTCTTTCGCGCGATCTATGTATTGTCGAGATCTCGATTTTGTGTCTGTCTCTATGTAAAGATGTTTGTCGTAATACCGGGGAAATAATTAAGCTTCAGGAAATTTCTTTAAACGAGGGTGGCGGTCAAACTTTATTTTGTATTGCCACGCATGATTGTTCTCAGGTTTTCAATTTATATTAGCTTATTTACATGCAGTATTTTCTCCATGCAGATATTCGAATGAGGCTTCGATGAATTCTTCGAAGCCGCCGCAAATCTCAAAAAATGTTCAATAAAAGAAATGAAGTTCAAATTTCATATAACGTGCAAAAAATTGAAACGGATCTAACTTTACGAAAACCTAAAACTGAATATTTGAAACAAGCGCTAGGGTAGTGTGGTGCAAAGTTATGGAATAGTCTACCTCAAGATTTAAGGGAAGTTGATTATATCTCGTCTTTAATAAATATGATTACCCTTGGTGAACTGGATTGCATCTAAATTGTTAGCATTAAGAATTCTATAACGATTATAATTATATCGCGTGTGTAAATAGTTTATCAATACCTCTTGTTCTGTTCTGTTTTGAGATACTCACCACAATTTTCTACATATATTATTTATTTCTGAGACGCCCGTGGTGGAAATCATCTGTAAATAGTTGACAGGGCCGGGCGTGGTTAAAGGCACAGTTCAGACTTTTGAATGATGGTTTTTAAGGAGCATTTCAGCGTTTTTAATAATTGAAAAAAATAAATAGGAAAATCAATTAATTAAGCATAATTCAAGATCAGTAAACTCGATGTTTTTAACAATAAAAATGTTTTAATTGTTAAAAACATTAAGTTTACTGATCTTGAATTATGCTTAATTGTTTTCCTAGTCAGTTTTTTCAATTAAAATGGCTGAAATGCGCCTTAAAAAGAATCATTCGAAAGGCTGAACTGTGCTTTAAATTGTCATACATTACATACAGAGCTACATACAACTTAATTTGCCATCGCGTTCACATATAAATCAAGTTGAGCGATACGACTTTATCCACATCAGAAGTAAGCATGTGAAAATAAATTTTATATTTTTTTGAACAAATGATCATGGTAAATTTGCTTTGTAAAGGTTAGTTTATTTTGAAAAGTTGCTTTTCACATTGCTTTAATCGTCTGCATTGATTAACAAGAATTAGATGCCACCCAAAAATGGCGGACATTCGTCATCACGAGGAAGGCTAATTTTGCCTTTGGAGATAAGCACGTAATTATAATCTTTACCATCAGCTGAATTTTGAATTTTCGACGACGTGATAACATGCCCAAATGCTGTTTTGAAAATTTCCCCTCATTGAAGTCATCAAAAGCAGGAGTCATTATCCTCAATATTCTTTTAAAGTTCAACTAAGATACTACTTCGTCGTTACAGTGCAAAAACATCCTCAATAATTTCGTAGTTATTAAAAAAACCCAGCAAAAGTACAACAGCAAGAAAAATCACGCACCTTGTCAACCTTTGGCGAAAAGCACACTTGTGCCAGACCTTTTCCGCATCACACATCGATCAGCGCGTTGCACCGCCCTATATATAAGCGCCCTGATTAAATTTCATTTTAATAGTCGACAAGATGATGAAGTTTTAGATGATTTTAATCAAAATCTGATAATTGGGCCTTCGTCGAACGAAAATAATGTATTCTGTCATATACACACATATATGTCGTACGTATATCGTTTCCCGAATCGACTATCATTCATTTTTGGTAATTGCTGCATACATAAGAGTGACGAGGTATTTTACAAATAGAAAGATGCAACAATTAATGAATTAATAATAAAATTTATGCTAATGACGTCGTAGGTTTTACAAATCAATGATTCGCTTTTCATTATAACGTATATTTTTGCCCAATTTGGTACAATACATACAAAGATCATTTTACTAATTTAAATAATATTTTCCCTTATCCTCAGTTATTATTGTTTGAAAAAGTTGTTTTCACCTATTTAATATATTATAATTTCTTAATTATGTTTATTATTATACAACTTGTTTGCAAATCTAAAACTTACCCCATAAGTAATACATGTATTCGTAACATTACCCAACTTTGATCACGGTTAATAGAAGGATGGTTAGGCTAGCTGGACCACGTGACAAATGTGTTATTGTTCTCTTTTTTTCATGTCACGTGACGAGATAGTGGGACGCTTCACAGGAGTGTGATAGAAAATATATTGTTGACATGGCTTTTGTGATGTATATATTTACGTATTTTCGATTGTACGCCTGATTTGATCCCGGATTTGACTATACTTCGAAGTTTGGAATGATCTGATCGTATTCACAAGTTTTAAAGGTATTTTTTTATTGGTTTTGAGATGCTAAGCTATGCTAAGTGTATATTTTCTGTATCATATTCCATTCTCAAGTGTTCGAGGATTTTCATTTAAAGACGATACTTTTGGAGTTTGTCCGGGAAAAGCTGCTCTGCTTTTGGTCTTGAGAGTTCCGGTAGACACAATGAACGATAAAATACACAGTGTTTTTAGGACGACGGATGGAGAACAGCTCGAGTAGAATTGCTTAGGCCGCTAATAAAGAGATCTGACGTCGGTGCGAACGTATTGATGCGAAACAAACATATTAAGTAAATTTGAACTAATATTACAAATATATCAGCCCAGTTCAAATCATGTGCCTATGCAGCATACTTTGGTATTTGCTCTGCCAACAAGACAACTCAAGACAATTTTACTTGTCATTGATAGTGATTTCTAGTTGATGTACAGTGTACTATTAAAAGTAACATTTGGAATAGTCAAACTGATATTTGTTATTGGATTTTCAAATTAGTATCCTCAAAAAACCATTATATTATAATGTATGGCATTTCTGCATGTCCAGTTGCAAGCAGTGGCATAGCCAGCCAGACGATTTGGACCCGTGCGCTATGCAAATTTCAACTCATCATTATTCACTTCTTTAGAAATTATAACATTGTACCAGAATACTGTAACTATACATACTTACTGAAATGTAAGACTGTTGAAGAATATTTGTCTATCACCATTACATAATCTACCCATCAATTGGCAATGCACGCAGATGCACCTACTTTCAAATAGGTATATTTTACTCTGTTTAAAGCAATACAATTTTACTCATCAGTGGAAGAACACTGCCTGTTAATTAATGGGTTATTAACGAACAACTATTGATATCCACCCTGGGATCGGATGGTTGATCATTTAATTTGGGATTTGCAGGGTGAAGTTCTTCAATTGGCAGACCTCTGACCTCACTGAGAGAGGACTGACTGGTGGTGAAATTGCCATATAAAATCGCATGGCCTATTGGCTCTGGGTTGAACACTTGTAGATGCTTATAGATACTGAATTTAAATACACTGGAAATAATTAACAAATTGTATACATCGACTGAAAATGCACAAGTTTAATATTCAAAGAAGATTCTAAACTATTTTCACGTATGTTTTGTTCTAATTTTTATCAGATTATCCCATACTTTGGTTCCATGCTAACACCACCCAATTTTACTTGTCATTGGCAATCTACCAGTGCCGCTTGTTAATCCACTAGTGGGTGAGCTGGCAATGTGTCCTACATTTCTTTGAAAGAGAAGCAATTGCAAGTTAATTGCTAATTCATTAGAGCCATGCAGGGATGCCTGCCAAAACAACTCCAGGTTCAACATGTCTTAGGCGCTGATGACATGGGGAGTTTTCAGCCGGGGCTAAATTTCAACTCAGTTAACCCAGCTGAAATTGTTTCACGATAACATGACAAAGTTCAGCCCGGGGTGAGTATATCGGGCTGAAACGATGAAGTCTCAAAATGGAGGTATTCTGCTTTAAAATGTTGTTCATGTCTATTATTTGACTTCTGCGAGAGTGTGGTTGCATTTAAAAATAGAAGAGGCAGAAATAAAGCCACTTGTTATATAGCTAGCGTGAAGACCAAACGTGATTGGCTGATTTGTGGTCACGTGGCTTCAGATAAATGCAATGTTTCCCGTCGGGCAACAAGTGAAAAATTGTTGCCCGCCCCGACCGGCCACGTACAAAAATAAACAAAATGGAGGCAAAACTCAGATAATTAGAAACTACGATTTTCCAAGTTTGTGTTCAAATAAAGAATATATAAGAGAAGAAAAATACAGAACAGGCAACAGGATATACTGCTGAAACCGTTTAAGTAGGTTCTTTTAATATTAAACTCGTTTACACTGTGGGTTGGGATAAAACGCGGATGCGGACGGACGAACGGACACGCGGACGGACGGACGGACGGACGGACGAAAAGGATAAAATGCGGATGCGGACAAAAAGGATAAAATGCGGATGCGGACAAAAAGGATAAAATGCGGATGCGGACAAAAGGGATAAAATACGGATGCGGACAAAAGGGATAAAATGCGGATGCGGACAAAGGGATAAAATGCGGATGCGGACAAAAGGGATAAAATGCGGATGCGGACAAAAGTGATAAAATGCGGATGCGGACAAAAAGGATAAAATGCGCAATTTTGAAACATATTGTTTTCGGAGTAACGCGAGATTACTCCATTTTCCATTATATCTACTATAGAAATTTATTATACATGACAAAATTACTGCAATTTGAGTGATTAAGAGGAGTGCAAATATTTCATTACTCGATTCTTATAGGTTAAAAACCGTCCCGATTAGACATTAATCGCATAGGTGTGCCGATTAATGATTAATCGGCACGGATACGAACCCGCGCGGATCATGCGTACATTAAAATCAAAATGTCAACTTGAAAATAAACAACTTTAGTTGAAAATGTACATTTTCTGAGCTCTAGTTTTACAATGAGCTTTTATTTATGCTTTCATGCATAACAAAGAAAAAAAAAGAAATAAAGGTTATTCACAGTTTTTACAGATATGAACAGAAAATTAATGTCCAGAAAGTGCTCTCAAAATTGACCACATGCAGAGGCGCCGTATGACTGTACTCGTTTGAATACATAAATAACAGTGTTTATTATCTTATGAATGCATAAATACACAATGTTCCTTCTCATTGATTGCTTGTGTAGAATTAACTATGAAATTATATTAATAAGAAATTACACATGTTCTCCAAGTATTAATGAAAAATCACACTTGTGTATGGCGAAATATATATAATACCGCGAGTGCGTAGCATTCGTGTACGAGTTTTCATTAATACTTCTCGAACCGTGTAATTTCCTACACAAATTGCATCACAATTTATGATTTGGAAAAACAAAATGGCGCCTTGCTTTAATCCCCGAGCCGGTGGCGCGAAGCGCCGTGCGAGGGTACTAATTCTCCCGGCTATTTACAACAGGGAAATGAAAGCATTAGGGAAGTCTGAAGTTCATCAAATATCGCGGGCGAGGGTCACTGTGCGTGGGTGGTCATCCTCACTAATCTAAAAAATATGGCGGACTGTCATGAATAGCGAACACTGATTGGTCAAATTTAAAATTTGTTGTTGTATGATGAATGACGACTTTAACTGACAGATACTTCATGAAAATATTTTGTTTTTTGCGCTACAGTTTTTTGGACATTTGCGAAAACATTTGGCAGCTTTAAAAGCAATTAGTTTTATTAAAACTTTTATCAAACAACTACGGTATCAATTAATTCAAATACCAATTGAAAAGATATGGAGCCATGAAGAGCGGCAAGGAACCGACAAGAACGCCGAGCGTCTAGCGAAAAGAAGGGAGCGAAGACGACAACGTTTGCTCGAGGAGACTGCCGAGGAAAGAGAACCTCGCCTGGGAAAGCGTAGAGAAGCATGGAAAAGACTGCTGAAGCGAAAGGTAAGAAAAGGCTTGTCTTCACAAAGCTATGTATACCAATGTTACTGTAGCTATACAAGTTGAAGTATGATATTCGACACTCTATATTCGACTGTTTCTTCACAATTTTACAAATAAAGAGTTTGTCATGACACGCTCAAGTCAATATATAACCAGACTATATTTTATTTATATCATTTATCACAGCCACAGGCAATTTTATGCTGTCAAATACCGTCGGTTGCAACTAAAGGTGAATAGTTGCAGATAAAACATTCTCTATTCTCATTAAAAAGCCTGTAAAGGTTTCCAGTTGGTCTCTAGCCCAACACGTTCAGACCACACAAAGTTTTTTTTTACTTATTATTGTAAACATGGGAAACAACAATTAAGTGTTGTTGTTCTTGACAAACATTGGAGATTTTAATCACGCGAATGTTTTCATGAGCGACTGTTCATCGTTAGTTGCAAGTGACGGTACAACATACTATGAACATTTTCCGACTGTGACCGAATGTGCAACGATATATTTTTCGAAGTTGTTATCAATTCCTAAAATTTGTTTATAGTAAAACGGCCTGCTCAGCACTCACTACTCACGATGATTTCATTTAGAAATGCAGTTACCAGGAAAGGAACTGATTCTAAAATATGTAAATTTAAAAGCATTTGCTAACAGAATAAAACGATGTAAAGACAAGGTATAAACATTTATAGTTGCTATTTGTTATAAAATCCTATAAATAAACCGATTCAACAATAATTTTGCCTCGAATCTGCATATTCTATGCTGCATGTCAGAGGCTGCATGTTTTATACTATAAAAATAAAATTGTAATAGTATGAAATAAAATACATTTTTGTTTATTGACCAGTACTTATTTAATGTCTTCTTCATCCAGTGGTCAGAGTAAATTTCTACTTCTAGCAAGTAAATATTTGACAAGCAGTCTGGAATAAGCACAAGAATAAGCACAAGAATAAGCACAATAAGCCATTTTATAGTAGCAATATGAAAAGTTTTTTTCTTTTTTCATGACTTTTAATGCATCAGCCAAATCCAAGTGTGCCCATCCCCCTCGCCGATCCATTTTCCTGTAAAGCACATCCCGGGGGTTGGGCATTTCCACTCGAACCTTATGCACTTATCATCGGCTTCCCCAGGGGTCGACCCCTGGTACACCCCAGGGGAACCCCCAGGAACAGGAGGGGATTTGTTGCCTTTTGTAGAAAATAGTGTCCCTCGGGGAAGGGGAATTGTTTGGGTTTGGTAACAGGCACTGTTAATCCCCAGGATAAACCCGCGGGACCCTAATTATTCATAATTCAGCGCATGCGCAAATAAATTCTTTCAAAGCGTGTATGCTTTAAATGCTTGAACCTGACATTTTTGGACGGTTATTTTAAAATTGTTTACTTTTCTGCTGTATTTTGTATCCAGTTCACCAGTTATATAATATTTTGTTTTTGTTAGGGATGTTATGTTTTCTTTTTTTCCCCGGGCGTAGGGGGCTAGCTGTAACATGATTTTTGTCATTAAACTTTCCCCTGTACCCAGGGGCTTTGTTAATGTTTTGTTCCATCCTCTTAACAAAAGTCCCTGGGTGGTTCGGGGGTCGACCCTCGAGGAAGCCGATGATAAGTGCATATTAGGGAGCATTCATTTTTTAGCTGGAGGTGGGGGGGGGGGGCCGGAGGAATATGCTTCAAAGGGGTGGGTCTTTTTACAGTTTTGTTATAAACAGAGGGGGTCATAAAAATAATCAGTGAAAAATTCACCAATATGATTTTGTTGAATTTGGAAATATTTGCATCAAGAATGGTAAAAAGGTCTACAATCTATCAACTATCTCGTCATCTATAACAATGAAGCAAAATTCATTTGACGCTCTGTTCACACAGTCCATAGGAAAAAAATTCCATGACGTTGGTCAATTGACCTCGTTTTTATCCGTTTTTGTGTGAAAACATCAATGAAAGAAAACGCAGGACCGTAGCATGATTTCAAAATCATGCACTGATTTCAAGGTCTGTTCTGTCTTGTTCGTTATCAAAAGAACTTGAAGAAGCGGGTAATCTATCGAAATTTAATTCGTAATCTTCGTCATCTTCTTGCTGACTATTTTTACAGCTTATGCAGCCACACAATTCATTACATTTGAGTCCAGATTTAACGCAAGAACAGCGCATCGTTTTGCAACCAGTTTTACACCTACAATGGATGCAATTAAGAAGCATATCAGGAGCAGGGGGACGTGTCATCCATTCAATTTCCAATTGCCTACCGACCAATTTCCAACCATTACCCGCTGCAGGTGGAAGATTTTGTTGACATGTCAAAGACCGAACCCAGGTAGCTGCTTGAAGATTCGCCCTTTCAATGTGCTTCATCAGGCTATCAGAATTTGGGGGAAGAGCATCACCGCCATACTTTCCGGAAATAAAAAGACTGTACCTGCAACGATCAACGCTCGTCAAAATTGTGTTTCCATAAAGCAAGCAAATGAATCTATTAAGTGAAGTGATGACATCTTTTGTTACTAGAAACGATTCTCCAAGTTTACAAAAACTTTCTCTAAATTCTGGGTAGTTTTCCAGTATTTTCCAAGGCTTGGGTTTTCCTTTTCCAAGAAAGGCGCTCGTAGAATCACATCCTATAAAAAGTAGACGTAACGTTGTCAATGAAACTAGTGTAGGCAGCAAACACAAACGGGTGAAAAAGCTTAAAAATATTTACCCGAGAAAGCATGAAATCCTGGCAAGCATTTGCATAAGACTTCTCCGAGTGAACGCGAGATAGCTGATATATCTATAATGCAAAGTTTGTTGCCAGTGCCAGTCATCAACAACAATGGTTTTGTAATGTTGTTCTGGTTAGCGAT